AATCGTTAGGTTGTTCAGAAACAACCTAACACAGAATTTGAACAGAATTTGAACGACCTTACCTAACAGTGTGATGCTGGATGTCTGCATTTTGAAACTACAATATTGAGATGATAGACTCCAAAATCCTGCAAAATCTTAATTCACCTCAATGTTTTCATACGTGTTTTTTTTGTTTGTTTGTTTTGTTTGCAGGTCATATAAACAAGACCAGGCTGTACAAAATATACCTTGATAGGTTGGAGCTAGATTTACTAATGTGCAGCGGCTGAAAGCCTTTTTTTTTGACATTCAAAAGATGCTGGATTTACTGAAAGTTTTGGACAGGAGTATTTTTTTTATTCACTTTCATGAGAAGAATATCACACAGGTTTTAGAGATGACATGCTATGAAAAATTTATTTTCACTCCTGAACAGGCAGTCAGTCCAGTCTTAAAAATATCTGCAGCTCATGCTATATATAATAACTATGCCATGGCAAATTAATAATTAAATACTATTTAGTGTAAAAACTTCCAGTGTTTCTTTTCAGTGGCTGATGTCAAACAGAGGTTACCAAGTGTAATCTACTGAGGGTGAACAGTCTAACATTTTTTTCTTCCTCTTATTCTTCTGCAGAGGCAATATCACTCCCAAATCAACAATCTAATTGAGGAGACGGTGAAGGAGATGATTACTCTGCTAGTAGCTAAGGTACAAAAGTACACTACATGTTCCTAGCATGGTTACAGTTCTTGTTGAAAAGACAAACAAATGACAGCAATAAGACCAGGCATTCAAAACAACTACAGAGAGACATAATATAACAGAAAGGCTCATTTTAAACTATTACAATTTCATTTAAATGTATGAATGCATGGTTAGCCATCCCGGTAAAGAAATCATCGCTCATCTGGACGTAGGATTTTCAATGGAAGAGATGTTTCATCACTCATCCAAGTTAGCTCTTTAGTCTGAGGCTAAAGAAGTCACCAAAAGACACGAAAAATTCAAAAGCACCATAAAGACTTAATGAGATGAGATGATAACAACAAGAATCCAATTTTATATACGACTCACAATTTGTGATAGCTTATGTTTCCAAATGTAAAGTCATTT